TTTTTTTTAAGAATTACGATCCTTTCAAATAACAATGGATTTAATTTTTTTGTTTGTTTGGCTGTCATTATGCTTCCAAATACATAAAATATTTTTTAGATAATAATGAAACAGTTGGTATTCATTTAATGGTTCTTCTACCATATAAATGGTTCTATTTCCCAATCACTTTCATCTAATAGAAAGAATGTTGGTGATAATGTAATAGCCGAGATGATGTGCATGCATTTTTAAATTTTAAATTAGCCAATCAGAACTTTAGTTATTATTATTATTATTATTCACAACATAATGCTTACATACAATGAGACATTTTTTCCTTTCAAGAATTCCTAAAGGAGATAGCATTACCATCATTTGCTAAAAATTATACAAAGCCACATGTTTTACGTACAATAATTAGGCTAGGGAATAAGCCTTATCATACAGTAACATCTTTCTTAAAAGAAAAAAACAGACATACACCGGGTGCAAGATCCTTCCAGGCATAATAATAATAAATTTTTTTTTTGGGGAATTCGGTTACACGTGTATAAATTTTTAGATTACTTATTAGTATTATTCGAATCATAATCATAATCATAATAATAATCATCATCATTATTATTATTACTATTTCATTTTGTTCGAATTATTCATTAATTCAAATTATTCGTTTTATTCGTTTTATTCGTTTTATTCGTTTTATTCGTTTATTCGTTATTCGTTTATATTTATTTGTTTTATTCGTTTATTCTTTTTATTTGTTTAATTAGTTTATTCTTTTACAAATTATTCACAACTTGATGCAACAAATTCTATATTGTTATTGTTAAGGGATTGTAAAATTATAAATGACTCATTTTCTTTAACAAGATAGTATGATTATATTTATAATTTACTGTATATTACTATTATGGTTACTGGTACTATGACTTAAGAAAAGAAAAGAAAAATGACAATTACTTCTGCTACCATTATTTATTATTATTATCACTGTATACACGGACTACGTAAAGAAGAATATTTTAATTGAATTGGATTAGCAATGTGAATATGTTATTTTATTCGAATAAACTTTCAATGTAATTCGAATGCTCAAATTCATAAAAATAATAATAAAACGAATAATTCGAATAGAAACCCTACTTATTATTATTAAAAAATTTTTTTTGGTCTTGAAGATTTCTCCCAAACCGGTCATTCTCGATATTTTTCCTGACGAATGAAAATATACAGTCAAAAATAAATTTACTATTAGTAAAGATCCTCATAGCCAATGGTTTATTATACAAAAAAAACAACCAATGACCCTCACTCTCGTCTCGTTATCTTCTCTCTCCTTTTCTCTCCCTTTTATTTCTAACACTTGCTCGTTCTCCCAGTTGGTCAACATCTGAGGTTATCAGTTGAAACTTTTGATAAATGGTTACAACCGTTATGGCAAGTAATTGGAGCTACCTTTTTAATTATGACAGATGTCCACTCACAAAGACACATTGAAGAAAACATAATAGATTCAATTTATCTTTCCGAGTTGATAAACATTTTAATAATTCAGTTTTTATTTGTTTGATTCTTTGTAAAATCTTGGATATGATATTATAGAACAGAATGAGATAGATATCTTTTAGGAATCCCCCCCTTTTGAATTGAAAAAAAAATAATATAATTGGGAAATTCTCATATTCCTCATAGCTGTTTACTCTTACTATACTAACTATCCACTAAAAATATTATAATTAGTCAAAACAAGGCTTAACTATAAACAAATTTATTTAGTAGCAAAGTTTATAATGCATCAGTTTGTTATTATCGACCATGGAAAAGTCTTTTTATTTTTGGATGAATTATGTATAGTCGCTTTATTGCACAATCATATTAATTTAAAAACTAAAACAAACATTTTTTGCGCAAAGCTTCCACTTCCACTTCCTTTTCATCAGGGACGATGATTTTATGCAGCAATAAACTGTCAATTATGCACAAAAACTTTTTTGAATTATGCACCATAAAACATTGACTGTTACGATTAGTATTATAGTATTGTTATTTTCATGTTTTCCGTTATGACAAACATTTTTAATTAATATTAATATAAAAAGGGCCAATATTTAAATCCGTTGTAATAATAAATCCGCTGTGACGAGATTTGACTGTATTATTCTTTTTTGTTTTTTATGAGCTTCACTTTTGCAATGATTGTCAACAATTTGATTTGCGGTTCCATTTAACAGATTATCACAAAAATAAAAACCAATAGTATCCCATATTTTTTATATATTTGATGTTGATTATCAATTATGCAAAAATTACAATATATGATGTTACACCACACATTAAACTTTTAGAATCTTAATGATGGACACAAATTTATGTAATATGTGTAACTGAGCCTACGCCTGAACCATATAAAATTTTGAGTCAACAATTCGAACCTAGATACATCAATATTAATATGGACAAAAAGTCGTGCTCATTTTAAGCAATGATTGTACAAAAATGCATGCAACAATTATGAGGGCGAATTATACAGAATGCATAATAATCATCGTCCCTGTTCTTCACGAGATGGTCAAGTTTTGTGGTATATGTAAACTTGAGATAACAATGCCATGATTATTATTAAGACTACGCAATAAATGTAAATTATATTTCTATTACTTAAATGTAGATTCTTGCATCCATTCGAAACCAAACTTTCTTCTCTCAAAAAAATCAATTTTATATACATTTGAATTCCTATTCATGTAGCACAGTCATTTGTAAATAGGTGTTAATGGTTAACGTTATAGAACATCATATTAATATACTGAATTTGTATGATAAAATATTAGAACATTAAAAAACAACTTGTTCTAACATTATTATTATTATTAAATTTTTTTTCTCTAACGAAAATATTTTCATCATGTTCTTAACAGTTAAATTCATTTTATATTGTATATAGTGGAAGTTTGTTTTGATTGACCAAATATTTCGTGATTTACATTAGAAGAATACATGCCGCTGTATTTGCTCTCCACGTATTGGTAATAAAATTAAATGATAAATCGATAAATAATAATACTATTTACAGGATTTCACAAATAACTATTTATGTTTTTATTATACCTCCTAAAACAAAAGCTTTCAGTCATCCATTTACATTAATTACAGTCAAACATCATTTCAACGAATCTAAAAATTACTGATCGCGTTTTCAACGAATTTTATGAAACTCATTGGATTATGCAAATAAATTAATTATAATACAAGTGTTGCTTAAAATACTTGATCTGACTTGATCTGGGGTTAAAGTAATAAAAAAATATTTTTTTTTATTATTCATTTTCATATAGAAGATATTGTATAAATACTCGTGTAACAATTATTGACAAATTCTGACTTTTACTATTAGGGATGGGTCGGTTTCACTAATAAACAGTTTGAATTCGGTTTTGAAACCAACCCTTGGTTTTTTTTTGGTTTGGTTTTTGGAACCATTCAAACTGGTTTCACATGATCAAAATGTGACACAAATAGTTTATTAAAATTTATTTTATTTAAAAATATCGTTAAATATAAATGATAAG